TTTCAAAGACTGAAAAAAGAAGATAAGGGCTCTTCTGGATCTATTTTTCACTTTTTAGAAATGGCGATTTCTACCTATCAAGAAATACGACAACGACAGGAAGACTGGGATGAAGGAGAAGAAGCCATCTTTAATGGACAAACACACTTAGTGGAGGAAGAAAAGCGGAAGGGAGGCAAGGAAAAGATGAACTTAGAACTTAAAAAAGCAACCAAGAAAAAGAAAAATGAGATGAAAAAGCGATATGATGTCAGAAAGCAACAGAAAAGAGAAATACAACAGAGAGGGAAGACTAAGAGATTGAAATTTGAGAGATGGGGGGGTCAAAAAGTTAGAATGGATAAGAAAGAAAGGGGAAAAGGAAAGAGAAGTCATAAAAGCTTTAAACAAGATGCTAAAAAAATGAATTTTTTTCAGAGATAAGGGGTAAGATAATTTTATAAAAATGATTCTGCAAAAGTACATAAGAATGTATTGTAGACATTAGTATTTGAAGCTGAGTTAGAAAATTAGAATATTATATGATTTAAAAATGTATTAAAGGGAAGCCATGATTTAATTATAGAGTTTAATTTCTTATGAAATATTATCTTTATTGTTTAAGAATTAATAATAGAATCTAATTTCCTATGAAACATTGTTCTTACTATATTATAAATTTAATATTTCTTTGTTACTTTTTTTTAGTTTTATTATTACTTATTAAATTCAATATTATTTGTTTGTTTTATTATTTTGAAATGTAATACTTAGAATGTACAGAGCAGAATCAGTACGGAAAATATGTATTATTTTAAGTGTTATTTAGGGGAAAGATAAAAAGTTGTCATACTTCAATCTGGGTTTACAGGAGAAATATTGTATTAGACAGAAAGGATAAGTAGGTGATTGAAAGAAAACGGACCAAAGATGCAAATATAATTATTTAATCGAGATGGAATAAATAAAATAGAATTAAAAGAATGAGTAGGAGAGAGAAAATATATGGAAAATAGAGAATGCTAAATAAGATATGAGATAGTATATTAAGTGAGTATAAATTTTGATTGATGTCTGTATAAAAAGAGTTAACCCGGGATAAGCCGCCTTCCAAAAAGAAGTTTTATGTATTTATGTTTTGTGTAATGTTTGTTTAAGTTTGACAGGATGTGGAAGAACACTAATGAAAATATATTCAATGAGTATATAATTTCAAGGCAGAAGAAATATGATTAAATAAAAGGAAAGGGAGTAATAAAGAGAAGTTTGGAAAAGATATGAAGTTGCTTAGATAAGATAAATATATATATTAAATTATAGAAATGTGATAATTTGGAATTATCTTCTTTTTAAATAAGATGGTTTATTTGTTTCTTTTAGAAAAGATATTTTATGTTACTACATCCTATGTTTTGTTTGTGTGTGTAAAAAAAAACTAATAAAGTTTGTCCAAAAAAACCAAAAACCCTCTGGTCCCGGTGAGCGACCTAGATTGGATCTTGCGCAACAATCCCTTGCCTCTAGCATGTTATTTGCAACCTCTCCCTCTGCCAATCCCAGGGAAAAGGCTAGAAGGCAGCTTCTACAAAGATGTTCATAGCCTTCTAATGGCAGCCAGGATAGAACAGGCATTGCTCTACATCTGGTTTGTCTACCTGATGTGCTCATCAGCATTTCCTGACTGCATAAATGTGCATGGCAACTGGATCAATATCAGAAGCAAGCCGGGATAGTGAGAGGCTCAGAGATAGTCACTGACTCAAGGACTGGATGTTTGAGCAAGGTTGTAATTGAAAGGCCAACCCTGATGGCTTACACACCCACAACCAGGACTGCTGTAAGGGTGGGCTTTCCTTCCTATTTGCTTGTCCAGGAAGTGCAAGAACATGTCCTGACAAGGTTCCAATTCTGGATTCAGAAGCCTTGTGGCCTGCACATCTAAAGCTGAGTTGCTGCCAAAATTAGCTCCCGTGCTGCCCGGACAAGCCATTAGCAAATTCAAGATTTTGTTTATATAGATAATGCTATAAAGTGTAAATACAAAAAGCAGGGAACAAAAAGCAAGAGCAATTTTCTCAAAAACAAATATTTCAGAAATTATGCAAAACTAGCAAGCTCATCCTTCTGGTTTAAAAGGTGGCTTTAAACAAAAGAATAGAAGAATGGAACACAGGTAATCATCAATTTACAACAGTTCACTTAGTGATCATTCCAAGTTATAATGGCACTGAAAAAAGTGACTTATGACCATTTCCCACGCTTATGACCATTGCAGCATCCCCATTAACATTCGGACACTTGACAACTGACTCACATTTATGACAGTTGCAGCGTCTTAGGGTCATGCGATCATGTTTTTGCAACCTTCTGATCAGCAAAGTCAATGGGGAAGCCAGTTTCATTTAACAACCATGCTACTAATTTAACAACTGCAGTGATTCACTTAACGAATGTGTCAAGAAAAGTCATAAAATGGGGCAACACTCACTTAACAAATTTCTTACTTAGGAATGGAAATTTGGGACTCAATTGTGGTTGTATGTTGAGAACTACCTGTAAAATACACTGCTCAAAAAAATAAAGGGAACACAAAAATAAGACATCCTAGATCTGAATGAATGAAATATTCTTATTAAATATGTTGTTCATTACATAGTTGAATGTGCTGACAACAAAATCACACAAAAATTATCAATGGAAATCAAATTTAGCAACCCATGGAGGTCTGGATTTGGAGTTACACTCAAAATTAAAGTGGAAAAAAACACTACAGGCTGATCCAACTTTGATGTAATGTCCTTAAAACAAGTCAAAATGAGGCTCAGTAGTGTGTGTGGCCTCCACGTGCCTGTATGACCTCCCTACAATGCCTGGGCATGCTCCTGATGAGGTGGCGGATGGTCTCCTGAGGGATCTCCTCCCACACCTGGACTAAAGCATCCCCCAACTCCTGGACAGTCTGTGGTGCAACATGGCGTTGGTGGATGGAGGGAGACATGATGTCCCAGATATGCTCAATTGGATTCAGGTCTGGGGAAGGGGCGGGCCAGTCCATAGCATCAATGCTTTCGTCTTGCAGGAACTGCTGACACATTCCAGCCACATGAGGTCTAGCATTGTCTTGCATTAGGAGGAACCCAGGGCCAACTGCACCAGCATATGGTCTCACAAGGGGTCTGAGGATCTCATCTCGGTACCTAATGGCAGTCAGGCTACCTCTGGCGAGCACATGGAGGGCTGTGCGGCCCCCTAAAGAAATGCCACCCCACACCATTACTGACCCACTTCCAAACCAGTCATGCTGGAGGATGTTGCAGGCAGCAAAATGTTCTCCACGGCGTCTCCAGACCCTGTCACGTCTGTCACATGTGCTCAGTGTGAACCTGCTTTCATCTGTGAAGAGCACAGGGCGCCAGTGGCAAATTTGCCAATCTTGGTGTTCTCTGGCAAATGCCAAACGTCCTGCACGGTGTTGGGCTGTAAGCACAACCCCCACTTGTGGACGTCGGGCCCTCATATCACCCTCATGGAGTCTGTTTCTGACTGTTTGAGCAGCTACATGCACATTTATGGCCCTCTGGAAGTCATTTTGCAGGGCTCTGGCAGTGCTCCTCCTGTCCCTCCTTACACAAAGGCGGAGGTAGCGGTCCTGATGCTGGGTTGTTGCCCTCCTACGGCCTCCTCCACATCTCCTGATGTACTGGCCTGTCTCCTGGTAGCGCCTCCATGCTCTGGACACTACGCTGACAGACACAGCAAACCTTCTTGCCACAGCTTGCATTGATGTGCCATCCTGGATGAGCTGCACTACCTGAGCCACTTGTGTGGGTTGTAGACTCCGTCTCATGCTACCACGAGAGGGAAAGCACCGCCAGCATTCAAAAGTGACCAAACCATCAACCAGAAAGCATAGGAACTGAGAAGTGGTCTGTGGTCACCACCTGCAGAACCACTCCTTTATTGGGGATGTCTTGCTAACCACCTATGCTTTCCACCTGTTGTCTATTCCATTTGCACAACAGCATGTGAAATGGATTATCAATCAGTGTTGCTACCTAAGTGGACAGTTTGATTTCACAGAAGTGTGATTGACTTGGAGTTACATTGTGTTGTTTAAGTGTTCCCTTTATTTTTTTGAGCAGAGTAGAATAAAACTTTATTGTCACTTTAAATGTACACTAATCAGCATATATTAAAGGTTTTATTTAATAAAATTGTGAGGTTCTATCATGGTTTTACTTGATATTCAGATCCAATATTAGTTATTAAAATGGTGTATTTATTTCTTGCCTTACCCTGTCCTGTGAAAGTTTCTGTCAAGGAATAATACAAATGTATAGCCATTCCCAAGGTTTCTATTGGGGTCAGTGGTTCTGCACTCTTGGCTCAATAGCCTTTAACCTACTTATTACATTTGATAAGGGAGACTTAGCTCTATAGGCAGTCCTTGACTTACAACCATTCATTTAGTGATAGTTCAAAGTTACGACAACACTGGAAAAGTGATTTACCACCAGTTCTTGCATTTACAACCATCCCAGCATCCCCCAAGGTCATGTGATCAAAACTTGGACACTTGGCAACCCGCCTGTGTTTACAACAGTCGCAGTGTCCTGGGGTCACATGATCGCCATTTGTGACCCTTCTAACTGGCTCCAATGAGTGAGGTCAATGGGGCAAGCCAGATTTGCTTAACAACCACATTTCACTTAAGAACTAAAGCATTTTGTTTAACCATGGCAAAAAACGTCATAAAATCAGCCGTGCAACTCACTTAAGAATTGCTTTGTTTAGCAACAGATATTCTGATCTTGGTTGTGGTTGTAAGTCAAGGACTACCTGTATGCTCAGAAACCATTAAGAGATGCTGCTGAACTAATTTGAAAACTACATCAACAATATAAATTTCAGAGAACTCCAAAGTCTAGTCCTACCACCTTCCCTCTTTTCTCAAAGGATATGATCTATTGTTACTCCAATGCACTCATGTCCCCAGGCTTTTTCCCATGATTCCCCCTTACCGGATTCTTTCCGAATCAGAAGGGTGAGGCATGTGGTGCCAGGTGGCCTCTTCCATGGCCTGTTGGTACAGCTGCTCCTTAATGAGAGGCACGGGCCCCAGAGGGCACACCCCAAGGGAAAGGGGGATGTTCACCTCTGATAGCTGGATGGGGGGCTGGTTGGAGGCTGGCTGAGATGTTGTGCTAGTAATTAAGATGTCAGCTGGAGCAAACAAAAAAGGAAGAACCACTCAGAAATTGTACACTTAGGGTCGTAGTTATTTTGACAATTCCTACTCCTCTCCAAGATCCTAATTTCTTCTTTTTCAAACCTGGAAATCTGAAGATTCATGGACTTCAAACTCCCAGAATTCTGGCTGGCTGGGAAATTCCAGGAGTTGAAGTCCACACCTCTTAAAAGTTGCCAAGTTTGAAAAACGCTGTCCTGGATGCAACTAGAAAGATTTGCCAGGCAAAAAAACACTTAAGAGCAAAAATAGGTGAAAACATAAACCATACTTCAGTGTCTATCCTGATTCTCGGTGTCTAACCTGAGAATAATTTCAGAAAATTGCAAGCCAACTCTTGTGGAGCACACCAAGATGGAGAAGGCTGATGTGGAGGGAACAACTTCCCCTTTCTCTGAAGACTTCCATTTTTTCCTTCCAGATCCCTTTCTCTGCAATTTCCCTGATCCACAGTTTTGCCAAGACTCTATTTTACTGTGCACCAAATGTCAAATATTTTCTTTGTTTCTTACAATCCAATGGATAAAAAACAAAGCAGCAGTCGGCAAGTCACAGGCCAACTCCTGGCCTGAAGAGATTTATTTTGATTGATATCCTGTTTTCCTTCCAAAGCAGAAGGCTATTGATTCCAGAATTGCTAATATAATGGATGGATGGAGCAAGAAGAAACATTTGGGTTTTCAGGAACAGGGAAGATGAGAAGAACTTGGGTCTGATGCTTTATTGGGACAGGTGTGTGTGTGTGTGGGGGGGGGGCATATGCACAGGGGTTACATTTTGGTAGTCAGGGTTATATTTAACTTTGCTGGAGATAGAAGGATCCAACTGCAATGAATGGGACCAGGTTATCTGAGGAACCGTCTCAGCCTGAGATAGGCCTGCCCACTTATTTTGGCAGAAGGGACACACTGTGGACATAAGTCAAGAAGTTTTGGCTAGAGGGGTCTAGGAGAAGAGCCCTTTCTACCATGGCCCCTGTTCTTTGGAGCCTCTTGAATATGGAGGTACCCATCCTACTGCCTTCCAGACCATTAAAACATGGTCCTGCTAGTTAGCTTGGGGTCTTGATGGGGGTGGTCTATGCTTGAGAGGGCTGGTGGAGTAATTGGGAAGTTGCCACTATTCTGCCGTTCTTGCTTTAGGTTTTCTAGTTTTGTACGTAATTCTTATTAATTTTAACATTTCAATTACATCCATTCATCCATCAATCCAATGGGGCTTCATCCTACATGTAGGCAGGACTGTGATTTTTCTTTCTTTTCTTTTCTTAAATTTTTTAAGTCAAGTTTTTTATATAAGTATTTTGAATACAGTGTAACATCCTGGCATTTCATTTTACAAAGGAAAAAAGAAAAATAACAGATATACTGATAGTAAATGATAATGCACATAGTAATTAGTCTTATTTATAATTATGTTAGCTTATTTATGGTCTTAATTATACTAGCATACTTATAAGTATAAATGTTCATATTTTACGTATATATAACAATAATCTTTCTTCATCTAATTTGTACCTCTTCTCTAACCATTACCTATTCCACGTTCGATAATACTCTGTATCTCCTTTATCTTTTATTTTCAACGTCAATCTATTCATCTCTGCACAATCCAATATTTTCCAAATTATATTTTCATCTGGTGGGGTGTTCTCATTTTTCCAATATTGTGCAAATACAATTCTCGCTGCTTTCAATACATGTAGCATTAAGTATATAAGCCCTTTATCATAGCTTTCTGGTATTATACCTAACAAAAATATTTCTGGCTTTAAATCTATATGCTGCTTTATCATCTTTTATAGCCATGTGTGGATTTTCGTCTAATATACATGTCCACCACATATGATAGTAGGTACCCGGCGCCTGATTACATTTCCAACATTTGGTGAACATGTTCTTAAACATTTTTGCTAATCTTGCCAGTGGCAAATGCTACCTGTAAAACATTTTATAAAGGTTTTCCTTATATGCAGTAGCCATTATCAGTTTGTAATTTCTATCCCAAAGTTTTTGCCATTTATCTAGTTCTATCATATAGTCAAAGTTTTTTGCCCATACTATCATTTCTTTTACTTGTTCACCTTCCATTTTAAAGCTTAATAGGTAATTACCGTATTTTTCAGTGTATAAGACACACTCCCCCCACAAGTGGGTGGAAATGTCTGTGCTTCTTATACAGCAAATGTTGCCGAAGCCCCGCCCACCCAGCAGCCTCCACCCTTTGGCCTCTGCCTCTCAGCAATTTGTCTCCTTATTTGCAGCAATCAGCAAATAGCCTGGTCAGCTTCAGCACAGCTTGATTTAGCACGAGCAGCTGATTGTCAGTTGAATCTGCCTCCCGGAATACTGATGATCAGCTGTTTCAGGCTGCAGGGATTGCCATGGCCTATCGTCGCCTCAGTGTGCCCCATTTTCGGCCTCCGCATCCCGTTTTCAGCCTCCGTGCCCATTTTAGGCCTCCACGCACCCCATTTTCAGCCCATTCCGTTCCCCGCCACCTTGTTTTCCTCCCCAAAAGCTAGGTGCATCTTATAGTTTGGAGCGTCTTATAGTCCAAAAAATATGGTAGTTTTCTTATCGATTTTTCATCTGTCCCTAATAAAATCTTATCAAGTGTTGTTAGTTCTTTGTAGAAACCCCATGTTTTCGCATCTTTCTCATACCTCAACTGTATTTCCTAGCGTGGCCACCATGATAAATCTACCCCTTGGTTTTGTAATTCCTGTCTGGTTTTAAGTTCCCCTTTCTCGTTTAAGATGTCTTTGTAGGATACATTTTTTTCCAAGTTAACAACATTTGGATGTATCAATGCTTCCATTGTTGAAAGCCAGACTGGTATTTTCCTATAGTTTTGTGATTTGACTTTTTCCCATATTAAAGTAAAGCATTCTGCACAGTGTCTTTGAAAACATCTATGTACTGTACTTCTTCCATCCCACAGAAAGGCATGCCAGCCTAGAGATCATGACCCTCCACTAATAATAATCTACTATGCCTCAAGCTTATCCATTCTTTCACCCATGTAAATGCAGATGTCTGATAGTACAACTCCCAATCCGGTAATCCCAAACCCCCATTACCTTTTTTTCCCTTGCCAGATACATTTCAAAATTATTTTATTCAATTCCTCAAAGTATTTTTTCTCTAATTATATCTGTATTGCTTGGAATAACAAAAGTAACTTCGGTAACATATTCACTTTTATAGTAGCTATTCTCCCTATCATTGAGACTTGTAGGTTCTTCCATTTCTCCAAGTCCAACTTAATTTGTTGCGTTAACTTTGTATAGTTATCTTTAATTGTGGCACATCTTGCTGTTAAGTAGATTCCTAAATATTTCACTTTCTTTACTATCTGAAGGTCTATCTTCTTTGTCAATTCATTTCTCTGTTTCTCTGTAAGATTTTTAACTATTATTTTAGTTTTTTCTTTATTTACAGTCCTGTCACTTCTCCATACTCCTCAATTTTCCTTATCAGTCTGGGGCCAGTTTCCAATGGTTCTTCTAGTATAAAAACTAGGTCGTCTGCAAATGCTTGTAATTTATACTCTTTTTTTATTTCCATTCCTTTTATTTTTGAATCCTGTCCGATATTTCTAGTTAACACCTCCAGTGTTAATATGAATAACAGTGGAGATAATGGGATTCTTTGTCTTGTGCCTTTTTTTACATAAACCTTTTCTGTCACAACTCCATTCACAATCACTTTTGCTCTCTGAATTGTATAAATTGCCTTAATCATATTGATAATTTTTTCACCAAAGTGCATACATTTTAATTGTTGCATCATCAATTGCCAGTTCACATTGTCAAAAGCTTTCTGAGCATCTAAAAATATCAACGCCAATTGTTTTTTGCAATGTACTTCATAATATTCCAGTGTATCTAAAATTATTCTCAAATTGCTTCTAATTTGCCTTTTAGGTAGAAACCCATTTTGGTCAGAGTGTTTAAACTCATTCAGAAATCTCTTGAGTCTTTCAGCTATTATTGAAGCAAATATTTTATAGTCTGCATTTAATAAGGATATGGGCCTCTAGTTCTTTATTTGTGTTACGTCTGAGTCTTCTTTTGGTATTAGGGTGTTTTCCCGAAAATAAGACCGGGTCTTTTTTCTTTTGAGTCCCCAAATAAGCAATTGCGCTTATCTTCAGGGAGGTCTTTATTTTTTTGAGGTGCAGGAGGCAGAGAGCGTAGGGGCCGACGGGAGTGGGAGTGCAGCTACCACTGGCCCTGCCCTCTTCGTCCCACTGTCTGCTCACCCACAGCTGCAATGGGCCAAATTCTCGGCACGCTTCGGCCTCCACCTCCCCTGCCTGCTGGTGGGACACTACTTGGCTGGGGGCTGCGGGCCGCTAAGCAGCTGCCCATGCTGCTGCTGGCCTAGCGGAGGCTCTTTGCCCTCCTGACGGGTGGAAGCCGGGGCGTGCCAAGAGCTTGGCCCCTATTGAGGCTCCCTGGGGTGAAGCCCACAGCCTGGCACTTGAGAGGGTCTTGAGGGAAAGCCCCTTTACGCAACCCAGCCTCTCTTTTAGATGGGCAGGAAGCCCCCTCCCATCATGCAGCCGGCTGCTTGAGAATCAGGCAATCCTGGGAACCGCTCCCTGGATGGACACAGAACTCCGGCTGGAAGGGGTCTCCTTTGGGCTACTGAGCACCAGCCTGCATGCCTACTCAGTGCTGCAGGTGCCAGGCTACAGCCCTGGCTCTGGTGGGTGCTGCAGGTCTCATGCCGTGTGTGGGGGTACCTGCAGCAGGAGGTAGTGGAGGTTGCCAGGCGATATTCCCCTCTGAAAAAAAAATCGGGGCCGGCCAAGAGACCCCCCACTGCGCGCCAAGAAATCGCTGCCCAGCTCCCTTTTCCTGCCGCTCAGCGGCCTCCGCTCGCACCGCCCGCCTGCCCGGGCTCCGCTCGCACCGCCCACCCGGGCTCCGCTCGCACCGCCCGCCCGGGCTCCGCTCGCACCGCCCGCCCGCCCGGGCTCCGCTCAGGTATCCGGCTGGGGCTGTCAGGAGGTGCTACCGCCGGCGCGGCTCCGCGCGGCTCCAGTCCCGCGTTGCCTCGGGAAGGGAAAGGCAAAGCGAGGAGCCGCTGCTGCCGTTGCAAAGCGCCGCCGCCGCTCTTCCTCTTTGCCTTTCCCTTCCTCAGGCAACGCGGGACTGGAGCCATGCAGAGCCGCGCCGGCGGTAGCAACTCCTGACTCGGGGCCTCCGAGGGGAGGGAAAGGAGGAGAAGAAGGGGGGGGGAAGGGGAGGGCGATTCCCCCAAAAATCGGAATTCCGATTTTAATCGGAAGAATATCATGTCTGGGTTGCTGAGTAGAAACTGGGGCTTGGTGGTGGGCTGGGCTGGGTGGGAGGTGAGGTTGCTGCAGAGCCGCCGCAGGTGACCAGGAGCAGCCCTACACTTGCCTCACAGAGCTGGCATGAGAGCTGCAGCAGCCACCAGGGCCAGGGCCTGAAAAGCTCCTGGCTCAATGTAGCTGTAGCCCGGCTCCTGCAGCACTGAATAGGCATGCAGGCTGGTGCTTAGCAGCCCAAACACTTGACAATGCAGGCCAGCACCTATCGGGTGCCCACTTTTCACCTGCTTCGTCTTCCTCTGGGCGAAAAGTGTATGGCAGTTCAAGCAATCAAATGTCTCTGTGTGTGTGTGTGACAGAGAAAGAGAAATGGCAGAAGGGAACCGAGTAAGGGGACCGAGCCTCCCCTGCCCAGGAGCAACATGCAGCCTCTCACAGTAAGGAGAATTGCCTGCAATTCTTGTTACTGTGAGAGGCTGCACATTGTGAAGAAGAATTAAGCAAGGCTGTGGGGGGTGGAGGACGAAGCAAGACAGGGAGTGCGGAGCTGCCCCAAGTGCCCTGCACTGGCTTTCCTGAAGGCCCTTCAGCCAGGCCACCCACGCCAAACCCTCACCCCCCCACTCCCCAGGGCAGCCACATCCCTTCACTAACCTGCTTTCCAGGTCCATTCTCTGCTGCGCATGCAGGACAAGAAAAGCAGTCTGTGGTACTATGGTAAAAAAAAAATATCAGTAGTTCAGACCTTCCAACTTCTCACCCAAAAAAGATCTCACGAAGTTGGAAGGTTTTTTTTACCGAAGTCCCACAGACTACTTTTCTTGCCCTGCACGTGATGGCAGAGAATGGAGCTTGAAAGCACGTTAGTGAAGGCATGTGGCTGCCGGGGGTGGTGGTGAGGGACCTGTTTGTGTGAGTGAGTGAGTGAGTGAGTGAGTGAGTGAGTGTGTGTGTGTGTGTGTGTGTGTGTGTGTGTGTGTGTGTGTGAGAGAGAGAGAGAGAGAGAGAGAGAGAGAGAGAGAGAGAGAACATTGCCACCAGCCCTGGATAACTCTCTGAGGTTGGATCGGATCACTCTTTCTCTCTCTCACACACACACACTGTCCTTTCTTTGGGATCACAGCACAGACACAGCATTTTGGGGATGTGTGTCTGTGCTGCAATCCCAAGTAAAGAACAATCGGCAGAAAAAAAAGGGGGGGGGATTTTCCTGTGCAGTGAAGGAGGTGGTTTGCTCCAAAGCTATGGCAGAGCGTTGTACTGGGAGGCCTCCATGGTTAATACTATTGAATTGCGCGTCTTGCTCCACTGAGAAGGGTGCAAGCAGGGGGCTCAGTAGTCAGGGAAGATGGGGTTTTGGGGTGCAAAGGGGTGATCTCACCCACCTCCTCCGTCCTGCTGCTCGTGCAGGGCAGCGTGACCACTGGAGAAGGGGGCCCTGTTAGGCTGGCAGCTGGGGAGGTACTCTGGAGATCTGGGCCGAGTTGCCCGGCCCTCAATGGCTCAGCTGATCAGCAGGGTGCAATTAAGGGGCCAAGCCTCCATGAGGTAACCGGGGAAGAGAAGGGTTGCCTCCTGTGCTGGCCATGCCCAACCCTTCACTAGAGCTTATTTTTGGAGTAGGCCTTATATTAGGCCCACCCCAAAAAAAATCAGGCTAGGTCTTACTTTTGGGGTAGGTTGTATTTTCGGGGAAACACGGTAGCTTCCATCTATGCGTATTGTATCTTGGCTTCTAATAGAACTTCATTATATGCCTCTAGCATTGACAAGCTCAGTGTACTTGTTAGGTCTTTGTTTCTGCTGGTAAACCATCTGGACCTGGTGTTTTATTGTTCTTTTGTCTTTTGATCGCCTCTACTAATTCTACCATTGTTATTCTTTCATTCAATATATTCTTCACTATTTCAGACATTTTTGGTACGTTGGCTTTTTCCAAGTAGTGTATTATTTTTTCCTCTGGAATTTTTTCACAATCGTATAACTTCTCATAGAACTCCTGAATTATCTTTTATTTATTTTCCATTTTGGTAGTGTAATGTACCTTCCTCACCCTGCAGCTTACTTATCCATTTTTTCTCTTTCTCCTTCTTCAATTTATAGGCTAGCCATCTTCCAGGTTTGTTAGCATTTTTTTAAATGTTTTGCACTTTTAATTTGTTGTGCCAATTCTTCTTTTTCCATTATATTTAACTAATGTTTAATTATTTCCATTTGATTTTTTAGATGTACCTTTTGTGGTTCTTTTTGTAAAACTACTTCCAGTCTTTTATGTTCTTCCTAAGGTCTTTTGATATTGTTTCTTTCTCTTGTTTTTCCTCGCCATGTATGTTATAGCTAATCCCCTAATATATACTTTCGCTGTGTCCCAAACGTTTTGTAATGAGGTCTCCCCATTCCTGTTCTCTTTAAAGAAAAATCCCATTTCCTTTTCCATCATCTGTATAAATTCTTTGTCTTTTAATATAAATTGATTCAGAGTCCATCTTGCTCTTCTCTTTTGTACCTTCCAACTGATTTTTTTAAAACAAGTTTTATTCAGTTTTCCCCATTTTAACATCTCTTTTTAGTGAACAGCATGATTACAGGTTTCACATATACATACAAATATGACGATGGTTACATATAGTTTTTGTATTCAATTTCTTATCTTAACAATGTTTTTATACATTTTCTATTTTATTATATTATTCCAAATGCTTACCTCTTATTTAGTTCACCTATGTTAGCTTCATAATTATTATACTTTGATACTTTTAACTGTCACATTTGTATATTTAATCTTAAATTCTAATTAAAAACACTACTTCTAAGAAATAGTTTCCCCCTTAAAATATCAATTTAAGGGCGCCATCTCTAAGTACTACATATTCATTAATTATCTCCCCTTTTAACAGGGGTGGGATTCAAATTTTTTCACCGGTTCTGTGGGCGTGGCTTGGTCATGTGACTGGCTGGGTGTGGCTAGGTGGTCATGTGACTGGGGTGGGTGTGGGTAGGTGGCCATGTGACTGGCAAACCAAATATAAGTGGTCTTCACTTAATGGCCAGTTGCTTAGGAAGTGTTCTAATTTATGACTGACCTCCCCAAAGCTACTTGACCTGTTTTTGAACTTTTGACAGCCATGCACACGCACACACTCTGTCCCTTCTAACCTTGCTATTCTATTATTTTGTAAGGATCTCATGCTGGAGCAGGGGGGTTGGACAAGAAGATGACCTCCGAGATCCCTTTTAGCCCTAAACTGATGTGCTGTTTCAAAGAGTCTTCTGAAACCAGGATTTGTGTCCTTCCTTCCTCTTTTTTTTTCTCTCTCTCCCTTCCTCCATCCCTCCATGTATCTATCCATCCATTCATATATCTCATTCATTTTCTCCTCCCTCCCTTTTTCTTTCTTTCTATCCCTTCCTTCCATCCCTCCCTCTTTCTTTGTCTATCCTTTTTCTTCCTTTCTATTTCCCTTTCTTTCTTTCTTTCTTTCCCTTTTCTCTTTTTCTTTCTTTTCTTTTCTCTCTTTATTTCCCTTTCTTTCCCTCTTTCTCTCTCCCTCTCTTTCTCTCTCCCTCTCTTTCTCTCTCCCTCTTTCTTTCTCTTTCTATCCTTTCCCTCCCTCCTTCCCTCTCTCCTAAAACTAGGAGACCCACTTTAAACACACACACACACACAAATGCACACTTCCAACCAGTTCTCACACCTCGCCTTGCCTCGTTGTTTGTTTTTAGCAGTGGGCCGGTCACCAAAGTACTTTCCAAGTGCCCAGCAGCATCGCTAGCCTCCCAGGAAACCCCGGTGATTGACTGACTGGGGCACATGCACTTTGCTGGTGGGGCGCTTGGATCAGTGCCTCTTCCACACAAGCAAGCATCTCTCTCCAGAGCAGCTATGGGGAGGAGGTGGACTTGCGGGGAGTTAGAAGGGGCGAGTGGCGGGTGGCTTGTTTACACTGCCATGCGTTGGAGTTCCCTGCGGCAGAGGGTTATGAGGGTCCTTCCTTGCGGCCGCAGCTGGTGCATCCGAGATGCAGAGCTTGCCGCTCACTCGCCCGATTGTCCTAGAGCGAGACACCTGGGTCCTCACCCAGCCCCCCTGGGCAAGTTGTTCGGACATAGCATTTGGGGCAGGTTTGCTCCTTACATCTCCTCCCCCTTCCCCATTTCTTGGGTCTCTCTTTTGTTTCATGCCCCTTCTGCCTGCCTGGGAGGCTTCCGCGGTTGGAAAGAAAAGAAAAAGACGAACGGGAGGAGAGAGAAAGAAACATTTGTGGTCAGCCTGGGAGGAGGGTATAGAGACCCCCTGTTGAGGTAATTCCCTGTTAGGAGAATGAGTGCACACAGGGAGACATAGTGAGAGTGATGTTGAATAACACACGACCAGCACACAGATACACTGAATAATAAAATGTAGGTTTTACTTCCAGTAAACGGTTAAGCAAAGTCCAACAAACAATCCAAGTCATACACAGTTAAAGCAGTCAGTTTTCAGTCCAGGGACAATCCAAATAACAAAGTCCAGTATCATAAACAGTTCAGTAACAGACTCACAGCAATCCAAGAAGAACGACGATCAGCAACAGTCAATAGGGAAAAATGCAGGAACCAAGAGCATCGACCATCAGAACATCTAGCAACAGAACTAACAACAACAGAACCGAACAAACAACCCAGGTTTCTGGCTCCATCTTATGGCTGTTTGAGGAACCACACCCAATTACAAGTTTAGCATTCCCTTAAAGAGACAGTATTAAATGTCTACCCTGGTTTATATATTTCCAACCCAACTCTTAGGTGACTATCAATTCCTAACATTCTCCCCTTTGGGTAGGAGAATATATAACACCTTACAGTTTAAGTCCATATCCTTCACAGCAAGCCTTATGCTTTACAGAGCCTTGGGCTTTTGTAAAATGATCTGCAATGTTATTATCTGACATGCAGTCCTCATTTTACTTTGCACACATTGTCTCACATTTAAATATCTTAAATCTGTGTGTTTTGATCTTGTCTTTATAGCAAGATTGGAAGCCATCTGTATTACTGATTGGTTGACTTCAAAAACAACAATAGAATCTGTTACATCAATTCCCATATCAATTAATAGTTGCTTATAACAAACTAAATCTGTACATAATAGAGATAAACATGAGAATTCAGCCTCCATTGTTGACAAACTTAGATGTTTCTATCGAATAGACCTCCATCCAATCAACACCTTTCCTAATTACACTACAGTACCTGATGTAGATTTACGTGTATTTACGTCTGTAGCGAAACTTGCATCGGCATATGCAGTTAAACTT